CCCCCTCTGCCAGAGTTGTTAATAAATACTTCTTCTAGCCAGCATAGTCGCTGTGATGGAGAAGATGTGACCTTTGGAGACCACAGCCATCAGGGCTGCCACAAAGGATCAGACCTGAAATCCAGCAAGACCACCACTCCCATCCTTCACAGTGGCTAGCACAAGATGCTTCATTCAAGTGAAACGCAGTGAGACCTGGGGTAGTCTGATCCATCCAGTAAGTCTCATCCCAATCTCTACTATTTAAGAGCTACTCAAAGAACAAGTAGCTCCTTTTGAAGGTTATCAGCATTAATTGCAACTTCTCCAGATATTCTTGATACATATATGAGATATTTGGTTTCAGCACTGTCATACAGCTGGTTCCCCACTTCTGAGAAGGTATTTATTCTCTGTTACCAGTTTTCAGCCTGCCATCTTTAAACTTCATTAGATGCTTCCATATTGTCGTGTAGCAGAGAACTAAAAATCCTTGCTCATGCCTCCTGTGCTGGAACCACCACAGAAAAACCAGGAGAACTGGTGCACACTAAGAACAAGCATCTCACAGCCTGGAAGCACCATTAGCAGACCCCTTTTTAAATCCACAAAGCACCAAGTATCTCTGTGGTACTGTATGAGTAACAATAATAAGCTGCTCCTGAATACTCCAGCAAAAATAGAGTAAGCACAGGTTTAAAACCAAGCACATTTTTTTCTAACATGCTTAGCCAAATAAAAAACCAAACACACCAGAAACACCCAAAAAAACCAAACACCCTTGCAGAGGTTATCAATGTTCATCAACAGCAAAAGCTAAATTTTTTTCCTTTCACTAAAGAAAACATGATGTTCAAATTGGAGAAAAGGCTGTTTTACCAAGGCAAGATTTGTCTCTTCTGGATGCTGTTAAATGACACAGAGAAGACTCTAACAACAGACAGCAGTAAACACAACCCCCTTTTTTCTTCAAATCTCACACCCAAACCAGCACTTCTTATAGAAAAAAAAAATTGCATTCCCACTGCAGGCATCAAACCTCTTTCATGAGAGGACAGATGATATGAATGGTCTTTTATAGGCCTTATCTAATTTACCTTCTTCAAATTTATTGAAATACACACGCTCCCCATCTATATCACGCCCAGCCTCTGCAAGGCTCATTAAGCTCACAGGTGTTCTGAAGGCATCTTTTTCAGACAGCGCAGCCTATGAAATATGAATCACTACATCCACGCTTATTGCAAGTGCCCATCTCAGGCATTTGCTGTGTAAGAGCAAGGAGTCAGACCTGCATGGGAAGAATGCCGCTGCCCCATGAGACAGGGGGACAAGAGAATTGCTCTTGTCCAGCTTTATTGCTCTTGGACAAAGGTCAGGCAAAACTTTGTTTATTTTAATTCATGTCTTCTCTGCTTTACTTTTGGCCTATGAAACAGTGGAAACCACAGCAGAAGAAAAATACCTAATTTATACTTTGGAAAAGGCCTTACTTCAAACAGGTTTATATGGGAATCCTTGAGGATAGATATTTTTTAGCTGTAAGCTACTTCTGCAGAAAGGTGATTTAAAAAGAGGCTTCTCACATAAGGCGTAGCTCAAGCGGTATTGATATAAGTTTTGGCATTATTCCTCCTGGAGACTCGTTCCAGTGTTTTACTATCCAAAATAACCCTTGGGACTTTTGCACAGCCTGAGCATGTGGAAGGGCTCATTGACATGCAGAGCTCAGAGTTCAAACACACTGCACCAGCAAGAGCAGCCTGTGGTCCAAACTGTGGCTGTAACTCTCAGCTGACTTATCAACAACTCACTGTTCAAGGTGCCTGAAGACATTGCTCCTTTCTGCCCTCACCCTGACCTCCCTCCCCTCGCTTCACCTATTTTTGCCTTCGTGGAGAAACACTCAGTAGGGTCAACATGCAAGAACTGCTGCTTCAGTAGGTGCCAGCCCTGGTGATAATTTTCGACAAACCCAAGCCAAAGAGGTAAAACAGACGAAGCGATGAACAGACTGCCAAAGATACTCAAATGCCTGAAGGTCTAGGCGAGCTCACTGGGTGCTCACAAAAGCACCTAAGCATTTCAGTCCCGTGGGCTACTTCAGCAGTTCTATGAAACCTTCTGTAAGGACATTTGGGTTTCCTTGATTCAACCATTCTCCAGACCCACCTGTACTTGGCTGACATGATTTTTAAAGCTGACTTTACTTTAATCAAAGGTGAGTATCTTACCTGGAAGACTGGAGTTGAGACTTTTAGCTCCACCCTTCTGGCAGCTGTAACTCACCTCACTCTCCATCAGCCTTCAGCGCTCAGCAGGAGAGCAAGACTTTTGCCACACTGGATTTCAGGCACCGCTACCGACTGCTTGCCCAGTGGACTCCTCCCTAGCTACAAAGAAGCAAACAGAAACACAACCTCCCTCTCCCTAGAGCTGAGGGTCAAAAACAGTGTGCGGGGGGATTTCAGCCTGGCGGATCTAAGATTCGGAAGCTAAATTCTCCATTTCAGAGATAACTAAAGATGCCAAGATCTTCCTAGACGTTTACCCAACTATGGAACTAGAGGAATAGTAAGAAACCTGAACCACAACTGCAGATGTCTTTTGCCTTGCAACAGCTTTCATGCAGGTATTTCTCCAGTTGAGTCCAACCACACCATTTTCAAAATTTAAGCTTGGTTCGGTAAGGGAGAAGGCTGTTCCAGTGAGATACTCCACATTCACATGCCTTTTTGCGCTCACAAAGCAGCTGAAACACCTCCCAGCATCTGGGGGAAGCAAGTTAAGGAGAGGGGAAAAAAAAAATTTCCATAAAGCAAACAACGCCCACCCAGCCTGGAAGAGTGCCTGCAGCTAAGCTCATGTTAAACAACCATTGCTAAGTTTCTCTTACTAAAGAAGAAGATGGTACTTTGCTTCCTGGGAAAAAATTGTTTTAGGCATTTTGAAAGGCTCATTAAGCTTGCAGGTGTTCTGGGGATGTCTTGGCTCCAGCACTGCAGTGAATATCCCACGCTGACTCCTTCCTTGTTGCTCAAGTGCCGGATTAAAGCTTAAAATGGGGGGGGGGAGATCATGTCTTATGTGGAAACCCTGGGAGAAGAGGTGGATGCCACCAGGACTGCCACAGAGGTGCTCTCCTAGTGATGTGCATTCAGACACTGACAGAGGACACAAAGTAGAAATATCTGCATGGCGAAGGCACCCAAGAAATTATGTGGCTTCTCAAAGAAACTGAGAGTTTATCTCAGCACACTAGCCAATGCCACCCAGCAGTGGGGAGCTGTATGCCAGTACTGAAGGGAGGCATGTTACAGCTATGACTTGTGTTGTGACTTAATGACATTTTCTCTCCAATCTAAGGGAAAGGAGCAAAGACCAATATTTTCACTGTGGCTAATCCATCACTGGCAGATTGGTCTTACTCAAGACCTGTTCAGGGCAGTTTCATTGCTGCATAGAAACCTCTTCATTTCTTCAAGTGCAGCCATTTAAAGCACCTTCCCTTGAATTGGTATTTCTGGGCTTTGTTGGTGCAGTTTTTTATTACCCCCATCAGTAAGAATCCATCTTCGAGTCCTCCATGACAGGCACCACATTTACCTGCATGTTATTTCAGGAAGCCTCCCAAGGCAGCCTGCATAGGGTTCAGTTGCCTAAACAAGGGTTTCTAGCACCATTTTAGGTGCCAGACTCCCAGCAGCTGCAACAGAAGGCTGTGCGTCTCCTCTGCGTCCTGGCTCATCTGTGCCAGCGCAGACAGACGTGTCTCATCACTGGGGACAGCTGACGGGGCACAAGACCCTGATAACCAGACATCTGGCCTGCTCCCTCCACGTCCTCCTTCCCAGGAAGGCAGCATTCATTATCTGGCACTCCTTCCTGAAGCATTTCTCCCGTGTATAAAATGTCCCACATGCACTGAACTGAAGTTTGGGAATGTCTTCTGGCAGCCCCGAGTCTGTCGCCCAGATAATTTGTTATAAAATATGGCCAAAATGAATATTGATATTGAAGATGGAGATCATGATTCGCAACCTAAGTATTTGCTAAAAAAAAAAAAAAAGCCATTTTGAAATAGATAAACCTTTAAACATTTGCATCCTAAAGAACAAATGCATGTGAAAATATAATGGAAAAGGGAAGGATTAGGCAGCAAGCTTTGGTGAATATTTCCCTGCAGTTGCTGTTAAAGTCTCTGATGCGGAGGCAGGCTTCTCCAGCAAACAAGCTGTCAAGCAAGCTTCAGTCAATCAGCTCCATAAAGAGAAGAGGATTGCTGGGCAGAGCTAGCTGCAAATGCTATCTCTGGCCATTTTTATCCTTTGCTGTGTTAACCTTCAGTCAGACTGGAATTTTCCAATGCAATCAATCATGGGCTTGATTTCAGGTGCCTTTCTGAGATGCTTCAAAACTAAATTCCCCCCAAACGCTTAAAATGAGGCTTCAGGAAAACAAAATAGGATCTTTTTGAGATCTCAAGCCAGATATCGAAAGGACAGGCATGTGGAATCACCAAACCATTTTTAAAGCCTCAGCTGAAATCCTCCTTTAGACTCTGACATATGCAGTTACTGCTTCTAGCAAGGGAAAAATGCAAACAAAACTATGGAATATTGTCTAAGAAGCATATTGTAGGAGACCAGTAAATCAGGTGTGCTGCCACTGCTTTAGTGTCAATTACTGCATTTGTGGCTGATCAGTTGGATAGATTCATCTGCATACAAAACCCATACTATGCCATCTCATATGTCAACAGTTTTGAAGCAATCGGGCAGCACAGTTAAAAGGGAAGTATCCCTCACCACACATTATTGTCCTTCAAGGATTAACAACCAAATTTAAATTTATGTCAAGTATTCATACAAAAGAACTAGACTCCTTACAGCCTTAACAAACAAAACAAGAAAAATAGAAGAACATTTATCTTAAATTGTTAGGACTAGTGCAAAGCATTAGGTTTATGCTGCTACCATTTCTGAACTCTCCATTTCCCTTTCACCCAGCCCTTTATTTACCTTGAATCCCCAAAGGACTAACATTGCCTCTCAATGCTGGCACATGATGGTACTGGTGTGGCCTTGAACTCCTGTACATCCAGTGGTACCTGCCAATTTCCATTTCTGGTCTGGTGATCACTGCCAATTTCAGGTGGTAAAAAGTCAGTGTCACCAGCAAGTTTTAGTTCAGCACTTTCAGTCATTTAACTTTAAAAATAAGAGCCCAGAAAAACATGCTGTAGTTTCAGAACTGAAACAACACAACTTTACCAAACCAAGGGAGGGGCTTGGAGGGACATCGACAGGGAGACACTTACACAGGTGTTAAGAAAGGTTGAACAGCTAAAACTCCACCTAGGATTTGAATTAAACACGTAAGGAAGGACTCTCTATTCCTTCCCCCCACCCACTCTCACGTCTCCCTCTCTTCGACTGTGGCAAAGAGCTCTGCTCCAGAAGTAAAGGAAGACAAAGTCATGGAAAAACACGTTACCTGTTTTATTAAAAGACCCTAAATCTGCTAAAGAAAATGGTTATTGTCATGCGTAGAGGTAGGGCAAACACACAAGTTTGCTCCGTTACTTTCTTACATTAAAAAAAAAGTCACGGGCTTTATTTCACGTGGACTCTGCTCACGTCCAAAAATCTGGACCAAGTACGTTAACACAGACTTGTTCCAGGTTTACACTGAAGGAGAGCAGGTCTCCTTCTCTCCGCCTTTTCAGAGGACAGATGAAGCTCAGCAACGAGCCCCCGCACGCAGTAACACACCTGACCCGCTCGCACACTCATCGCACACTCATCAGCACAGGGCTTCCAAGCCCCCTGAAAGAGGCCACTGGCAAAACAACATCAAACCACTTTTGAACCTACATGTCCCGCCTCGGCACCGCTATAGGCGGTGTCAAGGCTGTCAGGGTGAGACAGACAGATCTTCATTTAAAATGTACCAGAGTCCCACTCTGTGGTGGCTAAATGAGGAAGTAACCATCATCTCTGGCCAAAATAAATCCAATTCAGCAGCATTTGGGCAGGTGGAAGAAGTGAAGGTTATGATGCTGAAACCCCATCTACCGTAGACTAGATCAGAGACAAATTTCAGGGGGCAGGGGGAGTAGGAATGCCATAAATTTCTGGCCTGTGAGGGGCTAGGAAGGTCCTGGGCCTTGGTCCTGCTCTCGTGTGGTTTTGCTGCTGGGTACAACAAATTAGGCACAGCTACATTTACATACATCAAGAAGAGAAAAAATCTTGGCCTCGTATCCATGTGTTGGATCTAGAGGTTTGAAACAAGAATTTGTTCATCTCCTACACCAACAAACGAACTACAACACTAAAACAGTCTTTTGGGTTTGGGATGCAAACTTAATATTAACGGATCTCTAAAGGATACTTTGAGGCTTGGTATTTCTCCCCTCTCTGCGACTCACACACAAATCAGCAACCAGGTAGTGTATTTTTCCTAAAGGACACGATTCCGCTTTCTACAGCTTATCCCTCCTTGTAGGAAAGGCAAAATGCCCTTGCTCAGAGCAGCCGAGCAGGCAGCTGCCTTTCTCCCTTAGCCTGAGGGGACGCTGGTGAAGTCACCGCTGGCTGCTGTGGGACAAACTTCAAACCCCGCAACGTGGAGACTGCGTGTAAACTTTGTAGCATCCTTTCTGAAAGTAAAAATATTCTATGAAGCTGGGTTTTTTTAATTAGTAATTTCTGGTTCTGCAATAACAGGGCTCCCTTCATTAGGAGATGGTTCAAACTCTGTAAGGCATCTCAGTTTTTCCACTGTCTGCAAAGAACCGCTTAGCAGTGGCTGTTTGGCAGCCCCTACTGCACGCCTGGCACGAGCTCTGAAGTTGCAGAGTCTTTTTCGGTGACTCCACTGGGACCCACCCAGGCCCACTCACGCAAAATCACCACCAGGTCAAAAGGCTTCAGGGGCGTAACAGCTACTGCACACAGCGGGTACGAGTTAACTCTGTACCCTGAATAGTTAGGAAAGGAAATAGGTTTAAATGACTTCTTTATCTCTTGCTTTTTGAGGAACTAACTACACTAATTGCATTCCCAGGTCTGGGTTATGATACTCTCCATGCACAGCCAAGCTCATACAGCTTGAGGCCTCCTGTCTGAACCAGGTTGTACGCGATCCCGCACAGACGCAGCCAGCTATAGGACTGGCAACGTTTTCAATGTCACACCACGCAGGCACACCGATGGCGACTGTGGTGTTCAATATTCATTTGGGAAGAATCACCTTGCACGCCTGTAATAAAATTCCCAGTGCCCAACATCCTCACGCTTGCTGCCTTTAGCATATGGTTGTAGAGGAAACAAACAGCTACGACATTCATCTGTCGCAGCTGACGAAGCAGTCCATGGGAGCGGAGAGAGGATTGTCATTTGGTCATTTATGATCTGGCAATCTGGTGATGAATACTGCATTAGGAGGAAGGTTGGCCAGTAAATGGGGGAAGGTCAGAGTAAGCGAAGGGGGGGGCTCCCCCCACCTCTGTTCTCTCCCCTCTTTAGCCCCTTTGCTCCCACTGCAGAGGCCATTGTGCACATGCAGTGCCATCTGGGGCTTTTCCCCCCCGTTACAATATCCTGTGGCACATATGTCTAGGTTTTCTGCTTTCATGAGGTCATTCAGACCAGTATGAGTACATCCTCCGAGTGTTTTTCAACCCCCTCCTATTTAGAAACCAAATCCTATTCATTAAAACCTAAATCACTAAGTCTGCCAAATTATTATCCCCAGAATATCGCGTGTCCTAGATTCTCCCTGGGCTGAACCTCTCTTCCTACAGTCTTCTGGGACTTAAAGCAGTTATTGTTTTCAGGGGATCTGAAACACCAATAAACTGCTTCAAACAGGAAAAAATATTCAGCATGCTAAAACTCTTGAAATGGCTTGACAGCTCTGAAATCACCATGTGAGCCTAACATTAAGGGAGTAGGTTTGAAAATTTTGGCTAATAACCATAACACATATATATAAAAAAGACAATTTTTTCAATGTGCTGCAATGAAAAATACATCTATCTGTGATGCGTGACAATGTCGTAAGCTCACTGTGTAGAAAGAACATCACTAAAAGTTAAATAAACTGCACATTAATTCACTCCTTTCTTGCGTCGCACTTCAGCACCTGCATTTACACCACTGCACACAGCTGTACAGTTGTGTTTAAGAGAAGTATTTTCTTTCTACTTTTTACTAGCACATACTTGTCTATTTCGAGTTTAAAATCAGAAACATCACTTCATATACCATGAAAATAATAATCAAAGCTCAAAGCCATTCTTGAGCATGAGGTCTTCGTCCATTGAGAGCACATTAGAGCCAATTAAAAGGAACCTTGGGTATAGCTGCTCCAGCTGGTTTTCATTATTCCTCAGCCCAGCACATGCAATTTGAACATCGTATGCATTCATACAAGGAAACTATATCCTAGTATAATGGCTTTCTTCCACCCTCCCATGTGTAATGGGTAAATTCACCATGGTCATCCACAGCTGGGTTTTATTTTGGTTTGTTTTTTGCGTTTTGCGACTTGGTAGTATTTCTCATAGTTAAATGAAAAGGGAAACTTCTTGTCTCTGTTAATGTGTATCAGGATCTATATCCTTCACTGCTGATGCAAAACGGCATTTCATTTTTCTTATTTATTCCACCTCAGTAAATCTGCCTGCCCAGTCCTCACGTTTTGATTTAATTTAATGCCTGCAAGATAAACCCTGTCATTTGTAATAATTTGTAAACCTTCATCTTTAAAATGCATCCAATCTGTCCTGCAGCCCTGTAAAGTATCTGTTAAACATTTTGCTTCAGCTTGCTCACTGTGTTCTCCTCTGATAAGGGCTGCTGATACGCAGTATAAAGCTGACTTATTTCTTATCTCCATCAACATGGGTGTTGTTCCATTTCCAATTAAAAAAACTGGGGCAGCAGCCACTCATCCGGGTGCAGAGAAACAAATGTCTGATAAACACTGAATCCCTCAGCTGGGTCATATCACTGCCTGAGTCAGGCAGGGGATTCATGAAAATAATTATGAAAACATAAAACTGGAATTCATATAGAATTTAGTGAACTTTAAAAATCTAAATTAGATCAATCATTTTCATTTATCCATCAGTAAATATTCATAAAGCACATTAGCTTGTGTAAATTGTCTCAACTACGCTGCAATCCAAAACAGCTGGCCATCCACATTTGCCACAGGGACGGAAAACACAAACCGGCACCTATGCGACACCATCGTTTAGATCTGACTGTATTAAGTGCTCGAACTGAAAATAGATCTCGCTGCTCGTCCCAAGTGCTCGGGCAGTATTGCTCTCCAGCGTTCTCCTCGTGAGTACGGGGAGGCCTGTCTATAGACAGCACATAGTCCTAGCCCAACTTCCTCCAAGCATTTATCCTATACAAATACAGTACATCATTGAGGGGGTCCTTGCATTAAAAAATACAACCCGCAAACCTGTAGCTTAAAATTCTGGTAAAGGGAAAAAACCTTTTAGCTTGAAAGTACAATTTGCTCATAGTTAAATGCAGATACTTTCCCCAGAACTTGGCAGTGCAAAGCATACTGCGTGTGAACCTGAAGACCCAAAGCGAAATGCTCGGGATCTTCTCTTGCTCAGTCTTACCAATGACGACATCCCCCAAGCCCCCTCTGACATTGGTTTATCTCCTTGGACTTTGCAATTCATTTCTGGAAGAAAGAGTTAAAAGACGTTGTGATAGCGCTTCGGCCACTTCAAGCTGTGGTGGTTGCCTCGCCATCACTGGATCCAGGGCATCTCATAACGGACGGCCATTACACTAAGTCCAGGTGGGATCTCAGAGGAAGAAGCAAGTATTGCAAGCCCAGCAAGCATGCGAGGCACAGCAAGCAGGAGATCCAGTCCGGGCAGTAAACGGACACATTTTTGAAGGGGTCAGCTTCCATTTTACCCCCCAAGCGATGCGGCAGCATTTTCCAGGAAGTTTCTTCGCACAAAGAAAAAGCTCATTTTTCTCCATGAGAGCTGCTGGTGGAAGAGCCCTTTTGAAAAATCCTGCCATTTCAGAGGTACCTGATGCCTGCTGAGCCCATCGAAAAGCCCGACGGGGCTCAACAGTCAGAACTTTGGAAAATCTGCCCCCCAAAACCGAATATGCCTCCTACATCAGCGCTTCATGGCAGTAATTTTGCAGGGGGATCTGGGCTATTTATTTTGCTATTGAAACTAGGAGTAGGACTGTTTCAGCTTTTTGCATTTTAATTCGTTGTGAAACATATTGGGAATTTAAGTGAATCGAAATAAAGAGCATAATGTGAGAGACCATGTGTTACTTTCAGAAATCAGGGAACTGGCAAGCACAAAGCCTTGAAGTGTTACATACACATACCTCTGTAACAGATCCAAAGTATGAAATTATCACAGAAAAACTAGGAAATGGTGGTAAAATTAAGATAGGAAGCTCCCCTGCTTGCATCCTATGAAAGCAACAGATCAACCACCTTGACTTGGTAACAGATTTACCCTTCTACATGTTGTGCTTTCATCCTTGCCAAAATAAAAGGGAAATCATAAACTCATCATAAACACACTCAGCAACACATTTCGTTTTGCACAGCTGCTAACGCATACGGATAACTTTCTTTGGTGTTTATTGTACATGAGTTCTATCAGTTTAAAAGAAACTCATCAATCAGAAGAAAAAATTGCTGTAATTTTTGAAGACTGATCTATGAGTTCAAGATGGTTTTATAGCCAAGGTATTTAGGACATTTTGTACATTAATTACTCAAAATCTGCAGCGAGGTGGGTTATTGTCCACATACACTAATGGCTTTCAGAGTTTAATCTCTCATCAGTGGACCTCCTTTTGTGAAATCCCTAAGGGATTATGTAGTACTATGTCTAATCACTGGACAAATTTCATTTACTTGAAACTGAAGCTAGGTTTCAATTATACAAAGCGTGTAGGAGGAATCAGATTCAAAGTAGGAAAACAAAATCTGATGCTGGACAGTACCGGGATTTATCATTAGGTTCACATCTGAGCTGTTTAACAATGAATTAAATAATTCTACTTGGGGAAAGGTATTAGTTGTGTATCAGCTGCACACGCCTATGAGATACTTAGATCGCTTTAACTGACACACAACAGGTTCAAAAGTATACTATAACTCACGTAAAAAGGCAGTAGAAATTTTAATAGTTTTGTTACTGCTATAACATTTAGTAAAAAAATATTGCTATGATTTGTACAGCAGTCTGCTACACTGAAGAGGAACATTTATTTGGCATAAAGTATATGATGCAGAAGCAAAACAGTCCTTTGCTAGTTGAATTTACCCTCTGAAGTTCAGCACTCCAGACCAAATAAATCACCTGTAAGGCTGGGATGGATGAAGCACCTCTCCTCCTGCCCTGCCGTCTCCCTACCGCAGAACCGCTACCATGGAATTGTTCTCTCCATTAAGCAGCAATTCTCGGTGATTAACACATCCTGAAACCTAATGTTGTGAAACTCATTGCATTATTCCCTGTTATCATAGTGCAGGCAGATCTCTACATAAGCAAAATTTGCCAGATGACACCATAGAAAAGGAAAAGGAATTTAAAATTAAGAGTAGCATTTGGCACCAAGCTAACTACACAAAGGTTGTGTGGTATTATAATCCACTATATGTTATTGTAACCTAGGTCTCCCACACTGCATTACAAAGCCTTGCTACATGGCTAGTCTCGATGAAAACACCAGATTATGGCTCTGAAAACGACATGCAAACACACAGGCACACGCTACTTCTGTAAACCAAATTTACCAAAATCCGTCAAAGATGCAGCAATAACAAGACTTCTTTTGCAAACATTGTTTCTGGTAGGGTTAGGACAGATTCAGAGCAAATACAGACGCAGACAGAAAGATTGCTGCTCTATTAATTTGTTGTCAAGCCATGCAGGAAAGGACGGCTGAAAGCCCAAAGATGCAGTAATGATTGTTTAAGAGCTATTCGAAAAAGTGACAAAACTGGCCTAAACCTCTTTAAGCCCCCTGAATGAAAAGATTTAAACAGGCTATTGTTAGACCCCTGGGTACCTTTTTTCTCTTGGCTTTGTTCTGCATTTTCCTCTGCTGCAGTTTCCATGGCTGGCTTCATACCATCCACCAAAAATGCCGCCCCCCCCTCCCCCCCCAGCAAGCACTTTTTCTCTTCGCCTCCTTTCTCACTCCCTTCCGTCTCCTATTTACAGCGGCGGTGATTGAGCGGCTCTGTTCTCCCCTACAGTAGATTACAGTCCTTTCCAAAACGCCAGAAAAGTCTTGTCAGCTTCGATTTCGCTCCGCTGACTGGTCCACGAGGAGCCGTGCCAGCGAGCGCTCAGCCATACGTCACCGCGGTCCCCAGCTATAAAATAGCCATCCTGCGCCCAACCGTGCCCCAGCTCTCCGCGTCCTGGGGACCAGCATCACCAGCTCGCACCCCCTTCCCCTCGCCCTCCGCTCTCCCCCTCTTTCCCCCCATCTCCCAAGGTTCCCGTCGAATGTTAATCAATTCTCTCGGCGGTGAATGGATTGGCGACATCGGGAGGGGAGATGCGAGCGAGAAAGAAAGGAGCCCCCCAGCCGCCGTGGGGCGAGCCCCCTGGCCGCCGTCTCTAAGGGGAGTGCACGCCGGCACACAATCGCAAGGCTCCCTTTCCCATGGGACCTCGTTATTATGCTTCGCGTTTTGATTTATTCCACATGCCCTCTGCTCTTTCAAGGGGCGGGGGGCGATGCGTCTGTTCTCTCTGTTTGCTTTCTTTGCCGAGTAAGTTCCGCTCACCCACAGCAAAAGACTGTGTGAGAGAAGCACAAAAGCAAAAGTAGGCATATATATACACACGGAAAATTTAAATTATTTCTCTGATTTTCCATCTAGCAAGCACGATGGAAAAAAAAGCACAAAAAAAATCCAAGCAAACAGAAAAGAAGCAAGCTCAAGTGACCTAAAATGCACGTGCAATACTTTAAAGAATAAAATGTTTAAGAAAACACAGCTTGGGTTTTCAAAAGGATGTCTGCCATTATAGACCTAAAGCCATGCTTAAAAGTGAGCGCAGAGATGCTGTTAAGCACATGTTTGGTCGCTCCCCTAAATCGAGACAGAGTGCAGCACAATCTAACAAGCTGTACTAGCCCGGCTCTGGGAGCAACAAAACCAGGACAAGTCTACGTTGCCCCGCCTGAGGTGACTTTAGGTGTCCCCAGCCTGCTCTGAGCAGTCCCATGCCGGGGAGGCACAGAGCAGGCAACACCACATAGGAGTATTATTCACCTTCCAAACCCCAAGATAACTGACATATTTAAGGCTGTACTGTACTGACGCTAATTAACCTTGCTTGTCTCAATAGCCTCACGGCACGCCACACTGCACAGGGCAGACATGCCCCAAGGCACCCCTTTTTGTGTGTAGGATGATGGAGCAACCATGGAGTAATGGCCTTTGCAGTCTGGCAGGCTTTGCTGGTCCCGCCACTGCAGCCGATTCTGCAGGCTGCAAAGATGCCTAGCAGATTCAGCAAATGCTGGGGATGTTAAAACCTACACGCTGCATGTTCCATATAACAGATTCAGCCAGGAGAGTGGGAAGAGGGAAGCAGTCCAAAGATTTGTAGCTGCAATTCAGCCTCTTCTGGTTAAAGTTACTACACCCACATTTTTGCTGTGCATTTTTATTTCTATAGATGCCTAGTGAAAAGCACAAAAAAACTCAGATCCAAGCTTTAGAGAAAGTTCCCTTCTCCTGCAAGAAAGCAGTGCACAAATCCTCTTCTCTTGCCATGGACACCACAGTTGTTGCTTTGCTTTGGGCACTACTGCTCAGGCACACGCTTCAGCCCAGCTGCCAAGAGGTCTTGGACTTATCCTAAGGTTTCATATCACAGCATCAAAACTTGATGCCAAGCATTTGTCTAAAAAGCTTTCTCGGAGTCCAGGAAAAGTCTGCAGTTGAAGCTCCCACCTCAACAGACCTTTTTATAAGCAGGATGAAATTAATTTGTAGAGGTGATGAAGTATCCTCAGGAACCAAGGTGAGGCAATCGGTTGGGTTCCTGAAGGTAATCAAATCAGCAGCCTGAGCAGAGACCTCAACCCAGGTGCAAGGCGTATTTCTCCAATCTCCTTCTCTAATGCCCACGTGGCAGTCCATACACATACTGAAATCCCTGCCCAGCAAGACCATCTACTGCAAAGGCACTCCCTCGAGGAAGCTGCTGAAAGGTGAAACCATAGGTGATGTGTTTGCCATATTCTTTTAACCGTTACTAAAAGTTGTTCAAATCCCGCAGTCAAGAAAGGAAAAACAGCTTCTTTGCATTTAGGATAATGGTTATAAAAAGAAAATGTTCGACAAGGAGTGTTTTTTTCCCCATTTAACATCAATAGGATTGAAAATCCATAGCAAACACACTCTACTTGCTGAAAGTCACACAAATCTTAGTCATTGGTCAAAACAGTCAATTGCCTCTGACATTAAAATTCCCTTCTTGGAACTTCTCATTGTTCAGTTGGTACTTCTGGTTGCTGCTGTCATAGCCTAGATCGCCGTTTCTTAATGATCTTTGCTTACTTTGGAAGGTGTAAAAGGTTGAAACCTCTCTTCTGACTACCCCAAGTTACAGAAGGCCTGTTCAAAAACTAATTCGAGTGGTATAATACTAAGGCACTTATCAGTAGAAATATACAGAAAATACAAACATCATCTGGAATTTCCTTTCTTTAAACAGAAAACACATTAGACAGAACCTTTGGTTTCAGGCTGTCCCTGGAGGAAACCCACTACTGAAGCCCTCCGCTTGTATCAGTGAGACCCACTCCTTCAAACAGCTGCAGGCTTTCCTGCTGGCAAGCAGATTTTGTTAGGCAGGCTCAGGACTTCAGATGTTTTACAAACACAAAACTAACAGGCTGGGACACTATTTCCCCCACTTTCTCCCAGGATAATCCTTTCCCCAAATGAGCAATGAAGAAATAGAGGGCACAATACCAGAATTAACTTCACAAGAGCTTGAACTGAAGACTTCAGCAGCCATCAATCCCAACTATGCCAAAACATTAATTCTACCTACTAAATCATCCTCTAAAAGCTGCAAGTGATGCAGGAATGTAAAGTTCTCCCCCCTCCCTTTTTACTACTTTCCAGATTGCTGTAATATAGGACGGGTTTTAAGTACTTATCATCTTAAGTCATTTCTTAATCTTCAATCCTTTGTCCCATCATTGATAAACACAGCAGACAAAACAAACTACACACTATCTCCTCCAGGGCTAACATGGGTGCTGATCTTGCACTTCGAGCATTAATCTCAGACAGCAAGTTGTCTCATCCAACACTCTCTCCCTTAATCGGTACCTCCTTTTTATGATATGTGATGAGAATAGGAGGCATCAAGTCCATGCCTATGACAACGCAGCAAAAGACAAAGCCACAAAGGCAGAAATTACAAAGAATTCTTTAAAGACTGATATTCAGCAAAAACTTGCTGCACAGACCAGGCTGATTTAGATAACCAGCAACCAGGGAAGGCGGCTAGTTACATTTCAGAAGTTCAGTACAGCATTTTATTTGCAGGCCAAAATAAAAATGAAAATGCGGAGAGGGGCTGAGCAGTAAGGGTTTCTGCTGTTAAGGCACAGCTCTGAGCCTACAGCCAAACCTTAGGATGAACAGCAGTGGAGCAAAGTATGTGAAGGCACTGCAGACCAAGTGACATGCACTGCAAAATAGTTTTTAAAAAAGAGGTTTTAATCTATTTTATTTAGCTTTAAAAAAAAAACAAACATTTTGCTCAGTCAAGTCAAATAGTACAATTGCAAAAGTTAAAAAAGGTATTAAAAACCCAATTTTGTTCATGTGCCAGTTCCTTTTGAACACCTATCTTTAATGTCACTGAATCTAGTTTACATTCCTGAAGGCTGAGCAGCTCTATCATAAGCTAGAGCAAATTCTTCACAAGCTTTCAGGAGATGAATACATACTTGCCATTTCTACAAAAGCTTCACAGAGCTGTAATAGAGTGTTCTCACATACTTCAAGAGCAATTTGAGATTAGCCTATGAGATCCGAGACTCAGAAGTTAAAATTCACAAGTCAAACAAGACTGACATGTATTCCAAACAACTAATTTTAAAGACAACTTGTAGAATACTTTTTTTTTTAAAAAATATGCAAAAATATTCAAGAGAACAAATACACATGTAGCCACTTGGTGTGTCTCTCATCATAACTGCTTATGTTCAGACCAGCTTTAGACCAGTTACCTAAGACTCGAGTATAAAACCCAATCTGAATGCTTATACCAAAAGGCAAATTTTCCATGTGGATAAAATCGAAGCATGACAACAAGCTTTTAGTTGTGCAGCAGTTGTATACCTGGCAAGTACTTGAAAAAAAAAATTGGGGTCCATTCTTTCAAACATACTAAATTACCAGGAAAATGAAATCCAAATTAATGAACAAATAACAGTGGAAAAAATCTGCACTTTTACCACAGAATAAAATACAGACTACTAAAAAAACATGAGTGCACTGCACTTAGGGATCTCAATCTTGAATTTCTGTAGAAAGGGCTTAAGCGTGGATAGTGGTTATCTCTGCAACCAAAGAAAATCACTGAGTTAACTGATGCAGGTAAGTCCAGGAGGGCGAGCAGACCTTAAGAGTACGAGGGCGCCAGTCCTGGGACCCCCTTAACAAAGCCACATGAAGATGGCAGTAAGTGCTGCCAAGCTAATGCCTGGCGGCAAGCGGGCAGGCAAAGTAGATGCCGTTCAGTTGTTGGGTTTCATACACTTCTCTAGACGGCCTGCTAGCTTCCAGCTGGACCACTGCTTTAGTCCATTGCAGTCACAGCCACTGGTGAGAATCAAAGGCAATAAACAGCCTAAATCCAGAACATACACAGATGGCTAACCTTTATTTGGAACAAATAAAAGGGGGGGAAAAAAATCCCTTAAATAGATGGTTCTGTATGGCTTTTCCAGTAGCTCAGTCTCATCAAGTCCTAGTCTCAAAGACGACTCAAACGGCAGAGATGTGAAAGCTACCAAGGAAAAAAGCCTGAAGAGCTATAGCCAAAGTCAAAATGAAAGCAAAAGTTGCTGATGTTCTTA